ATTAGGAAAGGTCCATCATTCAAAGAGAGTCCTATTGCTAGGCTGAATCTATTAAGATAAAATTTACTGGTGATTGCTAAAAAATCTGGATTTGTGTCAAGGAAATTACAGTACAGACATGTTAGTAACAATTAAAAAATCTGTGAATATTTTAATGAATGTTTAAGATCAACTTTAGTCAGCACTACGATAGAACTACTGCAATTGCTGTGATACTACAACTTACCTTGGTGGAAGTGTAAGAAATAGAATGCAAATGCACTAAATCCTGCCCTGCTCAGTGCTAATCAGACCCCATGTGGAATACTATATGTGCTGTCCACTTGTAAAAGGGGTAATAGATTGAAAAGTGCCCAAATGAGTGAGAATAGTGAAGGAGTTTAAGACTCTTAAGTAATACTAAAAACACTTTTAATTATGCCTTTTTCTTTGTATATCAATACATCAATACTCTGTGCATCACCATAATAAAGTGAATAATACTCATTTTGAAATCCAGCACTAGATTTTACATCTCTGTACTATGGTTTAATGGAGGAATTTAATTGAGTTCTTTTAATTTAATTGAGACATAGTTCATGTGAATCCAAAGACTGAAACTCGCCCAATACAAAAAGTAGTACACATCTTGATAGATTATGATGAAATGTGTACAATCCCATAGTAAATAGAAAACTATCTAAATCTTTTAAAAGCATTGGAGAGTAATGTAGAATGTTACTTAAAATAAATGAGACTAAACAAACATTTTAAGGTCAACATTAGAAATTTGAATTAAGTGGGGGTAGAATTGTTTAATGTAATAGAAATGGTTTGCTAGACAAGAAGCTACAGAAGTATCACTCAGTAGTCTTTGTCAAAGAAGATGTTTAGTATATACAAAGATTCAAAGGTTATAATCCACATACATATGTAGAAACTACTTGGGAAATTTTTCTAATTACACAAAATAGAAACTGGATCACTGAATTTAATAAATATGAAGAACATGATAAAAATATTTGATGTGCTTAGGTATATGTGTTGAAATTATTTTAAATTCTTTTTAACATATCATGTGTGGTTTAATGAAATAGAATCACATTTCATGGCAAAACCCTAATGTTATTTGGTATTAAAGTACTAGATTATCATTAAATAATCCCATGCAAAGTTAAATTTTTGAAAAATATTCTATATAAACCCGGTACTACAAGGAACAATATAGCACTTGAACATATATGTCAAAATTAGTCCACCTACTGGGTGTGGTAGCTCATGCCTATAATCCTAGCACTTTGAGAGGCCAAGGCAGGTGGACTGCTTGAGCTCACTGGTTCGAGACTAGCCTGAGCAATAATGAGACCCCATCACTATGGCAAATAGAAAAACAGAGGCAAGAAGATTGCTTGAGCCCAAGAACTTGAGGTTTATCAATTTTCTTCAATTTTTCAAAAAACAACTTTTTGATTCATTGATCTTTTGAATAATTCTTTTAATTTCAATTTCATTTAATTCTGCTCTAATTTTAGTTATTTCTCTTCTTCTGCTGGGTTTGGGGTTGGAATGTTCTTCCTTTTCCAGTAGCTTAAGATGTCCCATTAAGTTATTGACTTCCTCTCTTTCTTTTCTCTTGAGGAAGTCTTGCAATGCTATAAATTTCTCTCTTAGGATTGCCTTTGCCATATCCCACAGGTTCTGATAATTCGTGTCTTCATTACTGTTTTGTCCCCCAAATTTGGCAATTTCCTTCTTAAACTCATCTATGATCAATTTAGCTGGATATAGGATCCTGGGCTGAAAGTTGTTTTGTTTTAGGAGAGTGAAGGTCGAAGACAATCCTCTTCTGGCTTGAAAAGTTTCAGCAGAAAGATCTGCATTTATTCTAATATTCTTCCCTTTGTAAGTTATAATTTTCTTATGTCTGGCTGCTTATAGGATTTTCTACTTCATATTAACTTTGGTAAAGTTAATTAGAATGTGTCTAGAAGATGCTTTATTTGGGTTGAGTCATGCTGGGGTTCTGAAACTGCTAAAACTGCTATCTGAATTTCAGTGTCTCTTGCTATGCTTGGGAAGTTCTCTTCAATTATCTCTTGGACAAGAGTATTTATGCCTTTCAGACCATTCTTTTCTTCAGGGATTCCTATGAGGCAAATGTTTGCTCTTTTAGAGTGGTCCCACAATTCTCCCAGGGAATGATCCGTTTTTGCTCTCCATTTATCTTCCTCTTTGAGCTTTTGGGAATGTACAAAAGCTTTGTCTTCAATGTCAGAGATCCTTTCTTCTGCCTGCTCCATTCTGTTACTGAGAGATTCTACTGTATTTCTCAGATCTTTCAGGGCAACAAGTTCTTGCCTCAATGTGTCAAAATCTTTGTTGATTTTGTCTTTAAATTTGTTGAATTCTTGAGACAACTTTTGAATTGCTCCTTGAATTTCTAATTCCATCATTGCTTCCATTCTGTTAATCATATTTGCAATTCAAATTCTGAATTCAATTTCTGACATCTCGGCTCGGCGCCTGTGGCTCAATCGGCTAAGGTGCCAGCCACGTACACCTAAGGTAG